GGATAGGATGGGGTGGGAGGGATGAGATGCGATGGGGTGGGATGGGATGGGATGGGATGGGATGGGATAAAATGAGATAAAATAGAATAAAATAGAATGGGATAGAATGGAATAGAATGGGATATAAGGGATATAATAAAAGGGAATTTTGCAATTAGACAATTAAATAAGAAGGGGAATAGGAATAGGGATAGGAATGAGAATGTGAATACAACGGGAATAGGAATGGGACTAAAAATTTGAATATATAAATATAAGTAATACTTAGTACATACTATAGAAAAATCACTATAACGTAGCATCTCTAATAGAAAAAAAAAGAGAAAGACTCTCTATAGCGCTTCGTAAAACGTACTAAAAGATAAATGAGAACTAACTATTCTTTTCTAAACTATTTGAAGGAGAACTATAAATATAAGTTATAGAAAGGATTATATAACCGGTATTAAGTTTCGCTTATAATATCTGGAACTTTAGAGGTTTGGTTTGAATTGAAAAGTGGTTTACTTTCTATTCTCGCTTGAGTAGTAACTTGATTGATTAATTGAGTATATTTCTTTGTTTGTTTGTTTGTTTACTTGTCTGTTTGTTCGCTTAATTGGTTTTGATTTTGATTTTGATATTTTGATTGATATTTTGATTAATTGATTGTTTAATGTTGGGATTTTGGTTTTGGTTTTGGTTTTGGTTTTGGGACGAAATGGGGAAGAGGGAGGAATTAAAGGGGGGAGGTTGTGCTAAGCGAGAGAGAGAAGAGTGGGGGGAATTTTATGAGGTTTGTTTTTGGTTGTTTGTTGATTTTAATGGAGATAATAGGTTGTAGGTTGCAGGTTGCAGGTTGCAGGTACTATAATTCCACTCTGAGATTTTCTAGATGGTGGGTAGGAGAGGAGAGGAGCGGTATTTGAGGTATTTGTTCTTTGTTCTTTGTAATTTGAGGAAAGAAAGAAGAGGATGGGAGAATAGTGGATAGTGGGTATGTGGGGTGGAGATGATTGAAATGTGGAGGTTATAGAATGGATCTGGATTGATTCGTAGAGGATTTGGGTATTGTATTGGATGAATGAATGGATTATCATGCTGGTTATGAGTGAGAGTGGATTGGGAGTTGAGGATGTGAGTTGAAACTTGGATGGATTAGTTAGTGTATGTAAGATGTTAATATAAATGGAAAATGTCATTAGTTGGCGTAAAGATGGAAATTAGTATTTATGAAATGTATTTAGCTTTAGATTTAAGGAACGATTATAAAGTCGAAGTAGAGATGTATGTCTTACTGTATGAGATGAACGCGATGATACGGAGTTAAAGAAAGGATAGGATCGATTAGATTACATCTTGGATGTTGTATTGAGTTTTCTTAGAGAGGGAAAAAAAGGTTAAGGGATTTCTAGATTAAGGAGGGAGAGGCGAGTGGAAGATATGATTTAAGGTTGGTTTAATTGATAGTTTCCATGAATTGAAATTTTAATGTAGAAGATGAATTATGGATGTTTGAATAAAGATCGCGTGATAAGTTGAGAGTTATAAAAGGGGATTGAAGGATGGAAAGTTGATGGAAAGATATGAAGAATTGAATTTCGATCTGGAGAGGGAATGAGAGAAGAGGTAAAAGATCTTCTTATAATATTCTACTAAAGAGTAAGACAAATCGAGAAAGTATTTTATTAGTATATATTGTAATAGATTTAGTAATCGAGCATGCTTTTCAGACTATGAATATAGAGTAATTCTTTTCAAAAAACTATACGTAAAACGATAAATTACTCTCATGTACTCTAAACGCTATTTAGTTACTCTTCTATCGTAAAAATCAAACTCATTTCACTCATATGCTCCTTAAAATCTATACTATAGAACCAACCTCAAATCACAGTATCTGAACTATGATGGCTGGAATGGAGAAGCAGGAGTCAGAAAAATCAAAGGAAAGTAGTAATATACCTATGAAATCTGGTCTAAAATGATGAGAATCACCCCTCCCTCCTACAGTAGCATCTAGCCTTCAATAGGTAGATTATATCGGTTTAGAGTGATTCCTATTATATTTTCAATCGTAGATTGTATCGTATAATCTATCGTATATAAGTACTTAAACATATAAATAGAAAACTTATTTTATACTTAGTTTTTCTCTTCAATTCTAAAAGTGTAATTCGTAATGATTTTCTACTCTAGAGAATTATAAAAACAGTTTAATACGGCTTTCACGACCATACTCCACTAATCGTGCAGCCGTATCATACGATATGACTGTAGAATTTAAGTATCTAATAAGCGTGTTTACGGTCATCCCCTAAACCGATACTTGAGATTTTCAATATCTTTTCATAACTGAATAACTAAGCAGAACTGCCTTGAGATTTGAATCTCTTCCTATGTGTATTCTAAATCTATTAATAGTTCTTTATATTGAAAAGATGTAGTACGGCCGCACGCGCTTTATAGGTATATATCACTTTCACTTCGTAGTTAGACTTTAGTCTAGAACAATTCAATTTATATGATTTATAATGTATACATTTCACTAGTCTACTTTCTTCATTGTGAACACTCTAGATCTTTCCGATCAAGTTATATTACTAGAAAATGAAGATATATTATATGTGAACTGTTAGATTTCAATGTTGGGGGGAGGGGGGGCTTAGCGAATAGAAAAAGAAAAGAGCTCAGAAAGTTTACATTAAATCAATAATATACTAAAATTGGTGAGGTTGAATTTAGTTTTGATCAAAACCACGTGTGACTCAGCTTTGAAGACTTCGAAGTGAAGAGTTGAAAAGTTGAAAAAAAAAGGAAAGTGAAAAGCCTGAAAAAAGGGGCTGAAATTCTGTCTAGTCGCTTAGAACTTGCTTGAAATCTCAAAGCATCAATCTCAAGGGACATCTAGGCAAAGTTTTCCTTACCGAAACAGTAGCAAACGGTTTTTCTAGTTCCGCAGGGCTAGCAACAACCGCTTGATATCCAACTGTAGCATCCAGAACGTCTCTCGACTATTTACAAATCCGAAAGATGAAAGGATTATCTTGGCTCTCAAGACAGTTGTCGCAGTGTAATCTACAGTCGGAACCGAAGAAAGAAATTTCTGTCGAAAAGATATGGGGATGATGGAAGACGAAGGTATTTTCATTCTGGGCTCAATTCTAGACTAGCTCTACGCAGAGTACAACATTCATGTGATCTGGAGAACTAACCTCCCAACTCTGAATAATGCCAAGAGGTCCAGATCAGGGATTCAATGAAGTGTATCCCTATTACAGACATAATTTGCTTCGGACTGAGTTGAGTGAATGATCAAGTTCATCTTATTGTAAACTTGGTATAGATATGAAAATCGCAGATCAATCGAGTAGTAAAATATCCCAGTGTCATAGGCTTCAAACAGAGGAATATCAATATATTTCAGCTTCACTCATTAGAATTACTTAGCTCTTCTGAATCATGATATTCTATAAATTGCACCATCTACTTGTCGTCGACTGCATTGTGAAATGTAAAGGTAGAGGCGTGAATATTTGTTGCAGATGGTCCAATGGTATATCCAAAGGTCAACTGCCTTAATTAGGCAGTCACTTCTTAATTTTTTTGTTCGATACATCTAACCGAAGGCTCCAAACTTGATATTTCGGTAATTCTAAGTCACACTAGGTGACATCATATGACGTAAAAACATGAAACACCTTGCCCTCATGTCGACCATAGGATACTCTCAAACAATATAAAATCTAATTTTGTACATATTGAGATATTATCAAATCACAATATAAGAGTTCTAGCCCCTGCTCACCGCACATGTAACGCTTTTCCGGCTAAAATATAAGATTATTCACCTTTTCATACTCTAGTTTATTTATTATAATAAAAGACGAAATTAAAAAAAAATTTATAAAAAGATTTAAAATTATTGAAATTACTCGAAAAAATATATCATTTATTTTTAAATATTTTTTTAATAGTGTTTTTAAAGGGTTAAAGTTGAAAATTCGAAAAAATTCGAAAAATTCGCTTTTTTTGTATGGGAAAAGCGTTACAAGTTAAAAATTCTGAATTTTTTCAATTAAAAGCTTATATAACTTTTCAACAAAAATGATTAAAAATAAATTAGAAATTTTCATATATAGAAAATAAATCAGATTATTTATCAGCAACTTGTTTTAATTTAATATCAAGAATTGTATTAATTATTTAATATTTTAGTTTATATGGCAAAACATGAATTTTGCAGGGATTATATCACAAAACATCACGGTGTACGGTGAGTATGTTCGATAACTCTTACCTTAGTTCAAACAATCTACGTAGATTTGATGTGAAGTGATGTGATGATTAAACTCAATATAACGGTCATTTGGAGCTCCCAAGTGACCAAATTTGCATGTGCCCTGGTATGTAACAATTGAATCTAGACTCAAACGCAGGTCATTGAATCAGAGGGGGGAGAAGAGCAGTCAGAAATAAGATACCTTGGGAATGATGGTACAAACAACAGGTATAAGTCTGAGGTACTTAAAGTGGCTCCGTGTTCCTTACTATTCTGTCATTGACATTAGAAAATTCACTGTGGAACTTCATCTTTTGAAACTTTGTGTCTTTTCTAGGCGCTACTTGAAATCTTTATTCTTCCTAGGAAACTCCGTCGAAATAATGAGGTCTCACTGGATAATTCTTCTTGCGCTGAGCGTTATCGCACAAGTCCCGCTGGCCCATGGCAGATTGTTGCCTTTTTCTACGCTTACCGAATAAGCATCAATGCGTTTGGCGTTGAGAAAAACATAATCGCTTCAAAAAGTCGGGGAAGCATCGCAGATGGGAGCTGCACTCTTGACGAGTTTGTAGATTTCACGCGGAAGCCCAAGAAAGATGGCATTCCGTTTCCGAGGGGGCTAATAGGCGATTACCTTACACCAGACCCTCTAATAACCGTCAAGATGATTAAAAACTCAGCGTATGACGCAGGATAGGAACTCGACGCTAGCAAATTGCTTTCGGGATCTTTCTAAATGATACCTGGCCATCCTCCAGCTTTTGCAGATCAAATACAAGCACTCAGAGACCAGGTTGCTAGGGCTCGTATCTCTATGATCGGCAAGATGGGCCTCAGCCAAGATTTCTTCGATACTGAGCCCAACTTCGTAAATCTAAAGGCTGCCATTCGTGGAATTTTAGATGCGCGCCGGTCAGACTTCAACAGAAACAACCTCACTAAAGTGATTAACACCTTGCGAATTCACAAAATTGCGCCAATTATAAGAACAGTAACCGCAATGGACGCTACGGCTTTGACAACAAATGGCTCAACCAGCCCTGCAATTGATGCAGAAATAGTTGTGAATAAAATTGTAGCTAGGATGGGACTCTTGTCTGAAAACAGGAAAATTAGAGGACATGCAGCTGTTATCAACAGGCTGGATCAATGGATCGGCAATCTCAACGCCCCTTGTTGATTTTTGCACCTGGGAGTACGACTGGATGGTGGATGCATTTGCATTTAATACTTATTTCAACATCAGAAAGCTGTATGGTCTTTTCACTCATCAAAATCTGCTGTAGTTAGAAGTAAACTTTGCTAGATCATGCACGGACCACTAGATACATAGCTATTAGCCATTCCATAACATACGGCTTTAGACAGTACCTACGAATCCACCGTAAACCATTAATAATTCAAATACGAAGTTCGCCGTACAAAGTGCCAGCATGATTCTATCCAACTGAAGTATTTTACTATATAAGAGAGGCTACCCACCGATGCTAAAAGTTCTGCATTCCACCTGTCTAAGAATCCCATTCTCTTAACCGCAAGCCCGGTTTCCAAATCCTCTGTTGAAATCGATACACACTCACTATATCATTCTATTGTACATTTAAGACTACATCAAAATGGCGACCAAATTTACTAAATTTCCAGAATTGCCATTAGAGCTACAACGCAAGATCTGGAGGTTTTGTGTCATGGAAGATCGTGTAATGGAGCTGGACTGCCCAGATGCGGATAACATGAGTACAAAATGTATCATGAAATCGACATCCCATGCAAACGCACAACAGCCAGCATACAGTCTAGTATGTCACGAGGCGCGAGATGCCGCATTTCAAGATGGTGGACACTTATGGAACCTATACAAGTTGTGGAAAGCAAAAGGATTCGATCAGAAACCAGATTGGGAGGACCCATGCCTGCTCCAGAATCCGTGGTTTAATCCCGGAAAAGATATCCTGCATCTCAATTGGAGACCGGGTCACGCGGAGGGCTGGGGTATATCCAGTGATGATAGTCCTCATCGAACTCTCATTGCGTATGCCAAAACCGCTCGAGGAGGCTCGTTCATGGCAGATCTTGTGGCAGATTTCATCAAGCCAGCGGTGGGCATGGAGGGCATACGGATTTGTGCTCGACCTTCGATAGGAGAAATCAAGCGCAACTTTCCACTCATCGAGCAAATGAACGGCTTCAAAGTCTGTCTCACGGTCATTACCATTCATGCCACCGCCAAACAGGTTGTTGACGCTCAGCTGTTTGGGAGCTCGGCGGCACCGGTCCAACTTGTCGAAACCTCGGACCGAGAGACCATTCGTTGTATGTACAAACTGTGGCTTACTACTTTTCTTGACGATGCTAAATTAAAGGACCCTGAGCCTGAGAAAATATTTGAAGAAATGATTTTCACCCCCGATGACTTCGAGGCTCGTGTCTGCAAATGGCATGAGGAGTATGAATGTAATTGGCTCTGGTACAAATGGACCGAAAAATATCGCCATGGGACTTTGAATAGTATTGATTCACCTCGAGATGTCTGGACTGGGCCAGACTTCAACCGTATAGGACGACTAAATACGGGCCTTGATCCGGGTGCTATATGGATGCCAGACCAAGACTTCAACAGGGCGCACCCGTGGGTTCGATCTATACTCGACGAGATGCCTCGTTTTCATCCTGTCATAATGTTCAGATTCTGTGAAGCCAAGTGCTACGATCGACCGCCATATGCTCCCCCAATGGAGGTTCACCAGATTGCGCACTTGCCGCCAATAATTTTTATAGATTAAACTATCACATGATCTTCTAATCATCGTCTGCACATGGATTAGTAGATGTTTCAGGCGGCTGACTAGACCTTATAGTCGAGATTCGAGAAAGCACGCATCCCTGCGAGTATTGTTGCTGGGAAACATACGAACCAAAAGAACCAAAATGATGAGTTATTTTAGTAAATGATAACGTCTATTTTCAACACACAACCACCCATTCTCGTGAGATTCTGGGAAAAATCTATGGTTGGATTGAACATTTACCTTCTCTGACTCTCAGTGAAAGTGGTAGACTTGGGGAGAGTTGTCATCATTCAGACTACAACAATATTCACACAATAGTAGCAGCGAGGGTAGGGAGTGAGTGGGGAGTAAATAGAGCTAATTATTACCAAAATTATCAGAAAATGTATGTGAGAATATCATCAGTGACAATACACACAGATCCCAATCTTGAAACTAGACATGTCGATGAGTGATGAGAAGAAATACCGCTGTATTGAATAATATTAATCAGTGACTATTGACGCATATATAATCACCAAGAAATAACAATCATGGATACGCTTCTTCTGCAATCTGCTCAAGCCACTTCTTCAAATCAACCGCAACACGCTCTCCCATTCCAACATCACAGACAGAATCCTGCCAACTAACATCCACAGATAATCCCACTGCCTTAAAAGTCATAAGCGAGATTGCAAAAGCCGCACCCGTGGTCTCCGCACTCGATGCAAACCCCGCCCGATGAAGTATCCACGCATCTCTTCCTCCCAGCTCAGATTCTGCAGACGGTATCTCATTATAGATTTTCGAATTCCGCTCGAAGGTTGCAGCATCTGTGATTGACCATGAGAATTTTCTGGGTCTCTTAGAAGCGTTTTTTAGTCTTTGGCGCCAGTTTCCTAAAAACTTCATTGCTTCTGCAGAACCATCTTTCAAACCCCTCGTTATTTTCCTTTCAGTTTCTCCACAAATACCTGCGCCAATCCTCCAAATATGTCTGAGCTGTCCCGGTGATAGAAGTAAATCCTGATTGCCATCTCCTGGGAGTTTATCGCGTAGCTGAGCTACAAGTTTCTTATCGAATTCATGAGAAACTGAAGTTTCGTAATTCCCCATTATTCTTTCTACATTCAATCCTGAATATTTAGATTTTGAGGAAATTGACGGTACCAATCGTCGCATATCCAACGTCGTACAACTTTGAAATGCAGATGCTATGGTCTCGTCTAATTGTGATGCTAGTGAGACGGCCATGAGTGCGTGCAGAAGACTGATAAGTGTACTTTTCTTCTTGCGACATGCGAGGTGGATATCATGGAGTGTAGTTTTGGAGATGTAGAATGAGCGATTTTGGGTGGAGTATGGGATGAGATGGATGGGTGCCCAATTAGCTAAAGTTGATTTTGTCCGTGATGTAGCTGCGGGACTAAATAATTCCCAGAGACTTTTAGCCAGGAAAGATATACTAACAGGAAATTTATAGAGTTCTTCGATTGGTGGCGGGAGGATTGAAGTTGGAGGAAGTGGAATGAGGGGAGATGTTGTGGTGTTGCCTTCAATGCCCTCATATTGAGTCTCCGTATTCAGACGTCGAAATAAATGTTCCTGGAAGATCCTCCCGCTTATTCCATCGCCATACACTTGATTCCACGTAAAATGTACCTCCAGTAAACTGGCTCTTTCTTGATATAAAACAACGATTCTCCACCCCGGCATTTCTTCAATGTCATGAAACTTGCTATCGATTTCGGCAAGAGTGAGTTCTCTCGAAACATCATCGAAATCCTCGGGTGTTTGTAAAATGCGCCATGTGAGATGTTCATCCAGATTAATGTGTTGTAGTTGTTTCCACGCTGGATTTTCAGAGTCTGCATCAACTATTCCAGCTTGTAGAATTGGATGCAGGAGAAGTACTTCGATGATAGCGGTTTCGGCTATACGTATGAGACGGTTGGGATTGGATGGATGGTTCGGAGATGGTGTGTAGCGACAGGTGATAGATTTGTTGCGATGGTGATCTAGTGTATGAAGAGCTAGTTGGTAAGCTTCTCTGCGATTCTCAGTATGTGTTTCTCGATATCAAGAAGTGGCTATACTGACTTGTTACCCAGTTTGCGGAAATTTTTGATTTTCTCGCTGTCATCAACTGGAGTGTTCTGTGAACCAAACTTGAACATTGTGAGAATTTGAGAAGAGTCGAGATGAAAACAGGTAGAATTTCTTTGCGATCTCGAAGTGTATGGTAGTGAGGGTGATGATTCTTTACTCTAGGATTCTGATTACGTTTATATACTGACGGCTAGATTGCGGCATTTGCGATGTTGACTTGAGAGTGAATTTACGTGAGAAATTCGATACAGTTTCGCGGTATAGGTGGATATAAGCCAATATCCTTCACAGAGATCGTAAATTTAGTTGGAAAATAGTGAATAAACGCAGGAGACAATAGTGATTGTGGGATGATAAATGAAAAAGACTTGGAAAAACGAGGCAAAAGAATAATTCCAAGATACGCCCTTCGCTACTTGGGATCTGAAATGCAAATTTTTGAATTCAAGGACTTTGAGTAACTAGGTATGGAACGCAGATTCAATATTTCGACGTATTTTAAGATTTGAAATTTCTCCAGTGCCTAAAATCTTGTCGATGTTATAAGTTTCATCAATATGTGAGCACTATCTGTAGTATTTAATTGTACAAGAATGATCAACTTCCAAGTCCTAGATATGCACAAGCCTGTTGATGTCCGAACTTCTCCAAGGATTAGGTGGAAATGGAAAAATTGAGGTCCTTCATAAATCTGCATCATCTTCGTCTGGGGGTGGCATTTGATCATGTTCCGTTCCATCTCCATTGTTTGTAAATGCGGCGTATTCTTGAAAGTCTATAACCTCAACAACCGAGTTAAAAGGTAAAGTTCGAGAAATCCTATCGTCAGAATCCGTATTCGAACTCGTGCTAGTATCCAGGTTTTTGCTCTCTGCTTCAGCCTCCTCCTTATTGTCCCATTCGTCCTCCTCGTCATCTTCTATATCCTCGTCACCAGCATGACTATCGTACTCTAAAGCGTCTTCATACACGTCTTCCTCCGCGTTAACGCTAGTGTAATCGTCCGTACCATTTTCCACCGGAAACCAGCTGTCATCATCATTATTAGAGACCAAAACTTTTAGATGGTCGGGCAAGGAAACTGTGTTGAGCGGAGTGAGAGATTTGTGACCAACAACTTTCGGCTTTTGATTCTTGATACACGTGAATAAAGAATGAGTCCCGCCTGGCTTTGCTATAACATAGCGTATGATAGGTGGATACTTGAACCAGGTGTGTGCATTGATACCTTCTTGATAGTCTAACACAATTTTATCAGTCCTGTATGTTTTGGAAAATCTGTGTAGCGGAAGGGCCCAATTACCATCTTCGAACTTTGAGAGTTGTTTTCTAAAATCTTCTAAATTTTTCTTCCTTCGTTCTGCTTCTTTGAATAAAACGGAGTTAGGCTTCTCATAGCCCTGAGAAGTAAACATTCGAGAGGAGAGAAGCTCATCATGACCATCTACTGGCTCGAAAAAAGTGACGCCATGGTCCAGGGTAAAGGCTACATCATTTAGAACGACGTATATCTCCTCACACATCTGGTATGGTAGAAAAGCCATTGTTCCCAATGTCCAGCTCATTACGTTGCTGTCCCATTGTGGGCGTGGATCGTGCCATAGCTGATGATTTATGGCAAAGATCTTTACCATACGATATGTAGGACGTCCTTCATACAATGCTAAAGAGGTAGGAAGTTTACACTCAGAACTGTCAACAAGCCACATGATATCGGCGTCTGGGTTCATGTAATGTTTTGGAAGTTGTGCATGACAATTTTCGTCCCCCCACGAACCATAATTGCAAAATGTGAAATGAGAAAATTGTAGGTGAATGCCCTCATCATATGCCTCCTTGCATGTTTGCATGATTTCCGTAATTCTGCTACGAGTTGCCACATGGCTAGATACAATATGAATATGAGGACCTATCAAAGCATGTTTCCAGATTTGACGTCGAATCTCCAATGGAAATGTCGAAAACAACGGAAATGAAACGTTCTCATGTAGTGTAATATTGGTACCTAATGTCATCAAAAAATTAGAGACATTCAGATTACCCCGAAAGCTTCAAATTGCGATGGTTATTCAGAAGCTGCCAGACACTCTGAGTATCTGGTATTCTCGGAGTGTTGAATATCACATCCAAATATTACCAAACTCTGTAGGTATATTAGACATTCAGAGGTTTTCAGCCTCTGAAAGCGAAGTAGAATTTTACATACCAGTGAAACTAGCCATTACATTGCCTCGTTTAATCACAGCATCCATATTGTTGTTATTGATGGCTTGATACAAATTCTGACGATGATAGAATCACGAATAATATGGCGGTTCCCAAAAGTGGTGGTACGTCAGCCCTGATCAGCTGAAGTATCCTTGACGAATTCTCTGCTCAGAAAGATTGAATATATTTCGTACTTCAAGTAATTCCCCAGTCTTGTTGGATGATTCTATTGATAAATTCTGAGTTAATCAAACGGACATTATTAGTTATATCAATATTGATGAGGGAACGGTCTTATGGCATGGAATATAATACGTGGGTAGAGGAAAGCAAAACGTGATCCAGAAGACAAAGTAAGCTTACTTAAAAGCCTGAGGAGTTAATTGAACACGCGTTTTGTTATATCTCTTAGGTTTGAACTGTAAAGATTGTGTTCGTTTGACCGAATATCGAACCTGAATCTTTCAGATAGTAAAGGCCAATGTATATAATCATTGACTGAAAATGTTCTTGACATTCTTGATCTACTATGCTGCCTTGGAAGTGGAGTGGGTAGGTGTAGAATCTCGTTAATCAATTGCGCTAAACCAAATCAATCTCAGCCATTTACTATCACGTGCGGGAGAACAGAGTCCTCGACATCTGATGATTGACTAGATTAAAACCTTGTGAATCTATCATTGAGTCCGTTGAAAGAGGAGGAAATTGAAAAGCAACTCGTTACTGGTCGTCGTACTGTAAATATGGTGTTAATTCAAGTGGTAGATGGATGATGAATAGCCGAATTCAGGAGATGCTTTGATGCGTATAGGGGTTTGTTTTAGGAAAAGTGATGGGCGACTTTCCCTTAGTTGCCTTCACAAGTAACGTAGAATTCATTTAAATCATCGAGGTACTATGATGATCAAGTCATCAAGATTTTAGAAGAGTAAGAAACTCAATTCGCTTTAGAATTTCCAACGCATCAATAATCTGAGGTACTTCCAATAATGTCAATCAAATTCCGTCCATCTATGCTTGATCAAATCTGGGGGTATCATTACTTTTTGCAGATTATCTTTTCGTGCGGCTGCTACCGTTCATATTCATCAATCCCTTCTTCCCATGATCACCAAAGCCATCCTCTGCACGATTTAGCTCCACACAAGCACTTCTCACTTCCTTGCTCTCCATCATCTTTCCCATCCACATAATCGAAAGTCAGCTCCGTCATTGGTCGAATATCTTCAATCGCAAAGAAAGCTAAATCATGAAGATTCTTCTCAGAATAATCTCCAACCCGCGCAAAGATCCTCATATTAGCTTCACAGGAATGATTGAAGAAACGACTAGGCCCTGCGTAAAATTCTCCGTCGATAACATATGGATCACCACGTAAAGTCTCATCGAGACTATCTGGATCGGTAAACTTATCGATGTTGAAGAGGTAGAGATCTTTTCTTCTACTGATAATTGCATTATCGCGACGTCTGTCGGCCTCCTGAGCGGTGATTATCTCGCCAATATAGCAGTCGATAAATGCACCGGCTTTGATGGGAACTTTGCTTCGGACACCTATGATTCGTTAGATTGTTGATTCTAACGTTGAAGAATAAAAGAGATTACATGCCCCAACCACGATTTTCAGTGCGGAAAACCTGTAGTGGTACGCGTCGTCCTCTTGCAACAATTCGATTGTCACATGTTTCATCACAAGCACAGGCCTCATGACACTCGTAGATAGGTGCTTTGCTATCCAAAAGCTGCTCTTTCAAACATCCTTCGCTATTGCCCCCTGCTTGATATGCATATACGTTGTGGTCTGGTAGATCAACCTCAGAATCTTGGAGACAGTGGCAAGTCATTCCATGGCAATTGTGACTGCATTCGCACCCAACTCGAAACTCAGGGTCGGCTCGGGAAACTCCTTCTCTGAGAATAGATTTTTCGATAAAAGTGAAATCGTCAGGAAGAGTTAAGCTTTCGTCTTTGCAGACAATGGAGATTGGGTACTCTTTTGCATTGGAGAAGCTGCGAATTTGACACCAATGACAATCTTTGAGGGATGGCTGAGAGATAAGGTTAGCTGTTGTTTGATTGGATGAACTTAGGAATCAACAACAAATGAAGTATTCAAACAATAAATAACATTATAGAGTTCCAAAATGATAAGTCCAGACAATAGAAACCCCCTTAATTCTATTGAATGTTCCAGTAAAACTCCAAAATTCTCGAAAAATATTGGGCACAGAACAAATGAACACAAAGAAAAAGAACAACAACTCACAACTTCATGACCAAAATAATGATCTCTATACGTCGGCGCCATAATCTTCGTCGAATAAGTTTTCAACATACGTGCTGTGCTGCCTCTTCTAACTTCTTCCCCTCTTTCACCTTTTTCAAATCACTATGGAAACTCGATTTATTCGACTTGTCCCATTTCTTCATTGTGACTGGTTCGCTTCGTTTGTCTGTTTGGCGGAGAATAGACATGGTTGAGGCTGTTTAATAGGAACACACCTTTGATAATGTATTTGGAGGTGTATTCATCTAGAGTTTTGGAGACGAAAAATAAAGTAGGTATATATAAGAAAAGAATTCAGATATCTACAAAGATGAAAATCATCTCTCAAAATCTTTCCAAATCACAAAATCATCATTGTTTGCTAGTCCAACCTAGTAATTCACTCATTGCCGTTTGCTCTTCAACGAGGGGTGAGGATAGCTCCTTCCCTAAAAACACACCACATCAATTACTTATCCAATCAATCATCTCTACAAAAAGCGGTCAACCTCTTTACTCACGGCAGAATATATTTTTATTTTCGACTCTGCTATCAAACCATCTCGAGATATCTTTGCGCGGGGAATTTCCAATACATCTATTTTTCTCCTTTCCCAATTCAACAACTCCAACTCCAAATTCAATTATAACGCCAAAATGTCGACAGATATCAGGGATACGAAGTTAATTAAGGAATTAGCTGCAAATGGTATGATATATCCCCCTCCCTCCCCATTCCCAAACCCATCCTAACCCCCCCTCCCAGACAAAAAAACCCGCGACACTGCCCTCCTCTCCCTACGCACCTATCTCTCCGCCTCGCGCACCCTCACCCCCCTCGACTATCTCAAAATCCACTCCGGTCTCTTCTACAGCATGTGGATGTGCGACCGACCCCTCCCGCAACAATCCCTCGCCAACTCTCTCGCCTCTCTCCTGTCCTCCCTCGCTCCCTCCACCCAAGCACCCTTCTACACTGGTTTTTGGGAAATCATGTCCAAAGAATGGGAACGTATTGATGTGTTGCGCATGGAGAAATTTCTACTGCTCGTGAGACGCTATTTGGCGGCTGGCTTTGAGGTTGTGGTTTCCGGCTCTGCATCTTCTGCTTCTGCGGGAAAGAAAAATAAGAAAGCGTCGAAGAAAGTTGTCTCGGATTCTGGAGAACAGATACTGGAAGTCTTATCTTCTATTCCATGTGGTTCGGGTCCCGATGCGCAACGCACACCGAATGGAATGCGCTTCCATGTAATCGATATCTGGATTGATGAGCTTGAGAAATTGGGTGTGATCGACGCAGCGAAGGAGAGTGAAGAGGGCGCGGAGAGATTAGAGAAATTGTTGGAGCCATTGAGGAAATTGGGAAAGGAGAGTATTAATAAGACGGTTAGGAATAAGTGCAAGGAGGCACTAGGAGATGAGCGCCTACCGGGGAATGAGAAGAAGGAGGGTACGGAGGAAGATGATGTGGAAATGAGTGATGCGAGCGAGGGGGAGGAGGATGGATGGGGTGGGATTGAGGATTAAGGGAAGAGCTGAAATAGTGGAAAAACATTTCTTTCGGTGTTAAAAGAGGATCTATGGAATAAATTCCACGGCGTCTTGGTGTTATTTTGAAGACATTCAATATCCAATATAAAAAGTCTTTTTATATTCAGAATTCATCTTTTGATTGTTCAACCTCTAATGAAACATTATCATAATTCCTAGGATATATTGATACATCAAAAGATATTTCTGAGTCCATTCTCATGATATCTCATTAGTTTATATACTTGTTAATAGATATTCAATATCCAATATAAAAAGTCACTTCACATTCAGAATTTCTCATAGTAGAATAGAAAAGATCTCTAATTTTGACAATATATATATATGTATATATCAAGTCGCTGATGCGAATCAAACCATCTTTGGGTATCATTTGAGGTCGACTATAAGTGCCACAATGTCTGAAAGAAAATTTAAACGCCTTGCCCAGAACTTATCTTACCGAGAGCCCCTTTCCCTTCCAATGCACACATAAAACCTCATGAAAATATGAAAAAGAAGTTCACCCCCGAGCCAAGAAAGACTCAAACAAAATCATGAGACTCATACATATGTCCCGTTTTCGAGAGTACCGTACCCAATCCCTTATGTACCTCGACCTGGAATGGTTGGAAAGGAACCCTCTCCCCATCAATACTTATATACCCATCGCCTTTCTGTTTCGGAATGATTCTATATCCGAGTATTTTACGATACCATACGTCAGGAATGTCGAACAATTTTCCGTTTTCCAATGACAACATCATCTTAATAGCTGAAAGACGACTTATATCGCCGTTGATGCAAACGAGGTCCATGTAACCGTCACTTGGAAGAGCGGCGGAAAAGAAATTGGCATCTGAGGCCATATATGCCATCTGGATTCCTGTGTTAGCATTTTTATGATTCTAACATGCAGATCAAAATCTTCAATGATCAAACAAATTGTGAGATATCCGAGAATCACTCAAGCCAGGGGGATGAACTCACATTTCCACAGTAAAAGTTGCCCAACTTATCATATGGAACCATTTCCCAGCCCTCCGGCAATTTGTCGCTCACGGTACCATATCTCAGCGGAGGCAACCCATCTTCCGTCCCACTACTAGCCGAAGCATCGTCATCCAAAAGGTATTTGTATCCTCTCCTCTCGCTTGCCGGTTCGTGATTGCTCATCTCCTTTCTATAATAATCTTTTATGCTCGGTTTATCTTCTATCGCAACCTTAATAGCAATATCACAAGGATAAATTGCTTGCCCAATAAGTCTCTCTAGAAATCCATATGTGAATCGTGCACTTCCCATCCATCTCAAATGTTCGGTAGCTAAATCAGCCTCGGCCACGATCCCCACTGATTGAGATAGGAAACTGATTGTTCGTGTTTCTCCTTGTGTGACCGACATGAGATCTAACGGCGTGGGAATCCCCTTGATAATAGCCAAAGTAGCCAAACTTGCACTGGCCGTTCCGTTCAAATTCATACTCATAGCATTTCCACTCCCGCATGGTACATGCGTCACTGCAATCTTCGATAGGGCTCTTTTCGCATCGTGTCTCTTCCCCAGGCCGTTAAATACTTCATGCGCCAATCCATCTCCGGAACAACAAACCACCATGTCGTAAGCTTCAACATCCATATCCTCGACAATCGTAACCGCATTCCCCTGAAATTGCGTCTTTACCATGTCAATACTACAGTTCGCTGCCTTCAAAAGTGGTTCCACATCCCGATTATAGTATTTCTGCGCATTTCCCTTGCCGCTATGAGGATTCACCAGGACCTTTGCTCGTTTTGTTTGTTGTGATTCGCCGTACGATCGATCTAATAATTTTCCAATCCATTTCTCGACTTCTTCCGTAGAATGCGATTCAATCGCATACTTCAGTTCTGTGGCTTGTACTCTCGATTTCGATGTCGGCGCAGCATATCGAATCGCAAGCTCTTTCGTGTCTAATATCTCAGCCCAGAGGACGTTGTAGAAAGGAATTGGTCTGGTATTCGCAGAACCTGTGCAAGATATCAGTATGACGTAGATATACCGGAGGTACTTAGCCGGACTCACTCGAAGCAAAAGTCCAAAATCCACAACAAGCTGCGCTTTCCTTTTCAAAAGCCTCATCTTCGTTCCATCATATCAGTACAACTACTTCTATATCCTCAAACTCCGACCCTCGAAACTCACCAAGCACAATCAGAGAGTCCGTTCCCAAGGTCAAGGAAGCATTTCTTCCTACCGTCAACGTTCCATCAGTCACAAACGCTTGCTCCCGCACATACTCGTCGCTAGTAATTCCCATCGTATCGATAAACGGATGATTCGAATCCATAGAAGAAGCCATGGTCACCTAAACTGTGTCGAGATCCCAAGCATTCTCTCACTTTCTCTCGCTCTCAGTATGATACCTCTCGCCTCTGTCTATCCAATCATAGTATGGTGGTTATTGTAACGAGTGACTAAAGATGGTGACCATCAAAATGTGTCATGCAGCGAGAATAAGACAAATTTAAGTTGAAGTTTCTCGAGACTTTTTTCCCTTTGTTCAATGAAGGGTGGCTTCCAAGATTTATTAGGGTTATCGTTAGTACTCTCTCATGGTACTTGCAAATGCAAGGGCCCGTCACAGTTCCAAAGATGCCGAGCTTCAAAACAAGACAGATGCACGGAACACAAACCTCAAAATTTCCGATCATTCAACCCAGTCATGGGTTCCCTTTCTCGATACTTGTAGACATGATTGATTGAACGGAGTAATCGAATTTCTGTCATTCAATAAGATGAGGGGCGATACGTGATGCGGTCGTTTTATTTATCGCTGCTACGACCTACCTGGCCAAGGTACGTGGGTACTACCTGCTGCGTGAGTGACAACTCTTGAGTCTTGTAATTGCATGATTATGTGGATATTCATTCGATTGGTGCAAAGCTTCCTTGAAAACTGAAATTGAGTTCTGACAAGGTGCAGAACCCGAAAGTCTTGATTTTGCCTCTCGTTTCGTGTACCAACAGCAGTCGAGGATATTTGGTATGGAGGCAAATCTCACATGTCAGTACACCAGTACCTAGTTGGACAGCAGCTACTAGGTAGGCTCGGTAGGTGGACTAGGTAGTATGTACAAGCGAGCAATGGAACTTCAATATTGGGAGAATTCAAAATATTTCATGGTGCTCGAGTAATGCCTCTCTGGTTCTAGATAAAACTCCTTTTTGTGCCTCTTTTTTGCGCAAAATCCCCCAATCATCATCATTTCAACGACCAAAATAAAAGCCAGGCTTACATGTAACACAACACGACTTGAACTAGATTGACGCCTTTAGTTGAGCCTGCTTCAGCCTTCCAGTGGCTTCCTATTTTCCTCTTCATCTTCATCTTATTAGCAGTTGTAACTGTTCCCCAATGTCCATTAATCCAGACGCAATAAACTGATGATACAGATTTTGTCATCGTTTTTTACTTCCTTATGCAACCTCTACAACCTTATTTAATCCCTTTAATGACCCCAAGCTGAGCGCTAAACCTTGAGACCTGCTTCTGATACGAACGAATCCGGTCACTGGTCCATCCTCACCTTCTTTCTCGATGCTGAGATTAGCAAGAGCGTCCTCTCCTAGAATGTTGTTAGTAGATGATCACATTTCGTAGTAGTAGGAAGGATTTAAATTACCGAAAACACTTCGAGCATAGAGATTAGCACTCAAGAATTGACAATCGCCCTTTAATGAAGCCTCAGGAGTCAAGCAATTCATATTTGTGCAAGCCATGAGTTGATCTAAGAAATCTCGTAATGTCTTGGCCTTTGAATTGATGTTGACCTTGTTCTCCCACTCAAATTCTGTCCACATTGTACGGAATTGAGTTTCGGTGCATACAGCAGGTTGGATGTAATCCATAATATCGACATGCACATCATTCAAGATGACCACGTTATTCTCGGTTGAGCTTGCGCCATCATAAATGACATTTCCAAATATGACTCCAGTGTCTGTTGAGGAAACCTTGATGGTAGCTTGTACATTTTGGAAATCGTGTGGGCCAAGATTTTGAGTAGTTGGCTTCTCCACAACCTTGAGATCTCCAAGTGTTGCAAATTCGACAGACAAATTCTGAAGAGTCTCTGTTGTTTGATTTACTAAAAGGACATCTAGAACGATGTCAAATTGATGTACTGTAACATATGCTTCAGCATAGACCGGATCAGAGAAACCAGTAAGTTGCACAACTCGGCTAAGTTTTGATGAAAGATCCTCCACTGAAGAATCTCCTCCAGTCGCCTTTTCAAGGTCTAGTTCGATCTCATCTGCACCATCAATCGTGTTCTTCTTTGCAAGCTGTCTAATGGAGACAACGTCATCGACTTGAACAGCCGATTTAGCTTTCTCCACTGCTTCCTTGGCTGCTCGCTTCTTCTCCTCTACTTGAACCATGTCTCGGAATGCTTTTCTGGTGTCCTGTAAGAACACGCTTTCGAGTTGCTTATTTTGAGCCACCTCAGCAAGTGATCTGACACAAGACATAATTCTGTCCACTGAATCTTCGTCAATTGGCGCTTTCACAAATTGCGATTGTCCTACACGAATGATGGAAATCATGATCAACATGGCCTCGGCGCGCAAGGCATTAGTTCTGGCAGTATCTGATGAGATTTCAGAGTGGCGCATGACAAGTTTTGTAAGGGTAGAAGAAAGAACAGAAGCTAAATAATAATCGCCATCGAGGATAAGTTGACGAAGAGGTGGTTTTTGAGCGGCCTTGACAGCCTCCAATTTGGCCGTGACAGCAGATTGACTTGTAAGGGCACTTTCAGTGGCATAGGTACCGTCTGCAAGGACTCTCCTTGAACCTGTTGGGGCTGCTTTGGAATGTCCATTGGTCTGTTCTAGCTCCTTTGGCTCTTGACCATCCGTTGCTTCATCGAGGAGACGTTGTTCAGAAGCCAGGATAGGGATTTCGCCCAAGCTAGCTCTTATACGCCTCCAAGCATCTCTGATATCATTGGCCTCTAGAGAATATTCTCCAACTATCCAGAGAGCCCCCCTGTACACTTTTCCGGCCCGAACTTCGCTTAAGGTTGACACTAAACGCTCAACTATGGATGGTCGGAGTTTGGGGAATTTCTCGACTACCTCCTTAACAAAGGAGATAACATCAACGGCTGATGAGTTATTGAAATCGGCGATGAAGTCCATGAGGAGATCAACAACGCTTTCAGCGACTTCTGAGAATTTAATTGCGCATTGATGTATAGAGTGAATCAGAAGTTGTCGATACTCAGCGTTCTTCTCGTATTCCTGATCGACAGTCTTCGATAACTCTTTCTTCAAAAGTAGGACAACATCCTCGACGTTCTTGCTAGAAACCATCTCCAAAGCTAGATCCAAAGCTTTCTTTCGTACATCGATGTCGGTGCTTGATAAAACGCGCAAAATCTCCATGGTCAAATCGTCTAGAACTCCCTCATTCTTCTGTCTTAACAAGTCCACCTTATCGAGCACAATCAACTTAACATTGTTGTCGGCCTCCTTGATACTAAGTTCAATAAACTTCGAGGCTGCCGCCTTCACCGCTACCGGGTTATTGGTCAATGCTGTGAGAGACGAAGCAGCTTCGTAAACGACGGTAGAAGCGCCGGCTTCCAAAAGGTCGAAAATGAGTCGCAAGTATCGTGCCTACAAATGTTAGCAATGTTTGGTTCCATGATCGTGGAAATTACCTTATTCTGTGAGTTCTGAACCGCATCCTTTCTAATGAACTCCAGTTCCACAAGTTGTAGCAGCTCGTCTGCATTTGGAATGCCATCAAAGACACTACTGAGATATGCCAAAGCCTTGTCATGGCTGATGCTAACTAATGCAGCAAATGCATTGCGCTTGCAGGTATGATCACTCTCTGTCTCCAAGAATGCGGCTATCAATTCAGGGGCATCTGGGATCAAACTCTCGGAGTGTTGGAAGATAGAAGCCACTGCAAAAACTGCGTTCTTTCGGACATATGCATGACGATGCTCAAGGCATGCTTTGGTTGGGGCGAGACAAGGTTCGATCAGTTCTGATTCGCGGAGCTTGCACAAAAATCGCAATGTGTTTCCTCTGATGTATTCGTTGGGATGCTGGAGATCATTTCTTATACCATTGCTGTGGCACATGTCAATACGAGTATCACGAGTTTCGCAGCTCAGAGTGGTCTTACCAAACCAAGATCATTTCCTGCTTGAGTTTCCCACTGGCATCTAACTTTGGGCATATTTCGTAGTAAAAGTAGAGAAGCTTCTTCAATGGTTTGTACTTCGAAGGCATAACAAATCGAATGATATGCATAAGTAATTGAGGCATTGGATCTCCATTCAGCATAACTGTGAGAATGCGCTTCATAGTTTCGACTTTACTCTCATCTGTCCCTTTCTCCAACTGCGTCCTCAAATCTGACATTGAAGGTACATCTGCTGCGTTGTCCTGATGTACCAAGCTGTACGACTGTTCTAAGAAGGTCGCCATATTGGCTATATTTGTAGCTGCAGAGCTGGAAGGTGTTTATTTCGTTCTTGACTATGTATTAAGGGTGGATTTCTGAATTCGAGGTTGTTTGATATTTTGGACTTGTGGCAGATTGAGAGTTGGAGGAATCTCAAGAAGTAGGAATTGGTAGTAGAATTAATAGTAATTTAAGATAATGCGTTGGGAGTTACGCATCGAACATGCGTGTTCTTGGGAATATTATCACGACTGTGTCCAGCTTTCTGGGTGCTGTGTTCGAAAGACTTAGCGTGGCCTGTTTCAGCCTTAGATTGTCAGGCACAAAATTGCATCCCCGCCAGATTCTAGCCTTAAGCTAAATTCATGACCGAGTCTCAGGAAGCTATCAAAAGCTTCAGCCTTCTTTATCAAATAGACAGCAGACAAAACTAAAGGTTTCCGCCATTATGTCTACTCTCAACGAACCCTTTTACATTCGCTACTAGTGAGTTGATATCAATTCTTGAGTCTGAATTTACTAATTAATCTCAATAGTTCTGGTCACCAAGGTCGACATGGACACGAATTTCTTGGTGAGGATTGAGAAGTTGTTTACAATTTGCGCGGATATTAACAATGGATCTAGAATTCGACTTTCGGGTCTTAGGAGATGGAAGAAGCGCATCCGCACGTTATGCCAACAATTCCAATTATCGAAACGATTCATTGATCCGCAAAGAAAGTATGTGGTATATGATGCTATATGGATCTCACTCTGACTTTACGGTTCATAGTGAACATTAGCTCTTTGCTGGTGGAAGAAATCAAGAGGATCATCAAAACAAGTGAGATTATGAAGTAAGCTTCTCAAATCCAGATATCGTGGCACGCGAAGCTTATATCAAAATAGGGAAGACGATAGCAAATGGCCTCAGAAGAACAAAGATGGACGTCAAGAATTGGAAATCAAAATAGGCAGCGAGGTTATCTCCTTCGAGGTATGCATAGTTTTCTCGAGTGCGAGATTGTGTTACTGATCAAAACTAGACTGCCAAAATCGGATCTCTCGTTGATGTCACAGAATCTCAAGACCCAGAAGGCTTACGGGTATTCTACTATCTTGTACAGGATCTCAAAGCATTGGTATTTTCATTGATAGCATTGCACTTCAAGATCAAGCCCATTTAAACTTTTGATTTCAAGAAAAGTCCAGGGGATGAAGGAGTTAGGCGTTGATTCATTTGCAAGACAAATGGATACCAATAGAGGAAAAGCCACTTATTTGTCTTCAATGTTAATGACACAAAAATCTACTCAGTTTTTGTCAAAATTTCAAATACATGATATGATAGTGCTGTTGTGCC